CTGGAATGGCTCCAGGCACTTCCCCTTGAGCACAACCTTCTTTCCCGGCCTGGCTCTGCCGGGTGGAAGGGTCACTCCTGATTTAGGCTAGGGCAGAGGATGTGAGCTCAGCGGGCCACCCCCCAGCCCACTCCATTTCCTCTGGCCAGAGAAGTAGACAGTTCAGAAAAGGGAGTGGGGGAAGGAGGGAGTCTGCACTTTCAGAACAATCCTAGGTAACTCTGATGAGCAGCCAAGTGTGGGAGCACAGGCAGGAGGGCCGGCGTGTCTCTGATCTGCCGCACAATGGCTATGTGACCTTGGGCTCTCTGAGTGGCAGTTTCCTTATCGGTAAAGTGAATGTAGAGGCAGGGAACTAAGGGGTTCACAATAATTCATGAACTGTAAGGTCTGCAAATGTTACCTTATGATTTCCTTTTTGTCACCAGCTTTCCCAGCTTTTCAGAGGACTGGGAAGGGAGGCACAGTGCCAGGGCCTCATGAGGAGTCCCAGGACCCATGTCACTCCATGCCTGTGCCCATGCTCTGTGCAAGTGCCTTTGGGGGCTTGGGGAAGGGACCGCTTCCCCCACAAACATTTCCCCCTGAGTACAGGGAACCTTCCTGGAGCCTCGGAGCCAGCTGCGAGGTTCCCACCACCAGCCGCCAGACCCCACCCACTTGTCCTCCTTAGGACCTCACTTCGAGGCCCCAGGGCTGTGAGGCCAACAGCAGCTTCACCAAGGCCGCACTGGGCAGGTCGCCAAAAACAACACAGAGGTGAAAGGAGGAGGGTGAGTGGCTCCCACTCTTGGGCCTCCAGGGACCTCTTTAGCACTTTCCCTCCATCGTGCTCACCCTGTACCCACTTTCCCAGGGCACAGAGACATCCCCACAGCTCCATCGCCCTATACCCTGGCCTCCTGCCCCTGTGTGCAAGTGGGAGCCTCTGGGCCCTTAAAATCCTTCTTTCTGGCACCCACGCTAGCAGGTGTAGGTGGGGATAATTAAATGTTTTCATTAGCCAAGGTGTATCTTGGGGCTAGGACCCTCCCTCCTCCAGTCCCAGTATGGTAGCAGCAGCCACCTCCTGCCCTTGCTGGTATAGGAACTCGAGGGGACAAGTCCAGTGTCCTCCTGGGAGGGCCCAGAGAGCTCACCCTGAAGCCCAGAGGTCTAATCTCCTTGGGGTCTCAGAGCAGAGATTACCGAGAGATAGGGCTCAGGTGTGGCCACCTGTGCATGAAACCCCCACAACCCTGTCAAGACTAAAGACCTCAGGCTGTGGAGAAATGTCCAGAAAATTAGCTTAAGCCACACCCCACCAGGGGACACAGGAAGGTAAATCAAGGGGAAGGTTTTTGTTTTTTGTTTTTTAATGTGATCAGGTAGTGATGGACTTTGTTTTAGACAGAACTCTTTGTGCGTGTGTGCATGTGTGCGTGTGGGTGTGTGTGTGTTAATCCTCACCAGAGGATATTTTTCCATTGATTTTTAGATAGAGTGGAAGGGAAGGAGGGAGGGAGAGAGAGAGAGAGGGACACATTGATTGGTTGCCTCCTGCACGACCCCCCCACCAGGGCTCGAATCTGACCGGGAATCAAACCCAAGACCCTTTGGTTCACAGGCCAATGCTCTAACTGCTAAGCCAAACTGGCCAGGGCTAGAACTCTCTTTTTAAAGCTACTTTATAGACATTCCCATTAAACTAAGACATAAATGCAGAGATGACCCAGTTGAAGTGATGTGGGTCAGGGGTGGAGTTCTATCTGTTTAGTCTTTCCCAAACCACTGTCAGAAACCCCGTGGACCTAGAACAATCGGAAAAACCACCTGCTAGGAGAAAACCCCACGAGGGCAGGAATTCCGGTTGGTTTCATTCACTGCCGAGATCCAGTGCTTTAGAACACAGCCCAGCTGGCACACAATGGGCACTCAAAAAAATCTGAATGAATGCACTTCAACCCTTTTCCTTTACAGGTGAGGAAACTGAGCCCCAGAGAGGTTATGTGATTTGCCTGACACACAGCAAAGGGGACCCAACTTCCTCTCTGGCTTTCCCACACAGAGACAGTTCTCCCCTTCCATGTCCCTAGGTCACAGTGACCCCCAAGCCTCTCTCTGCAACCTGAGCACTCAGGGGAGGGTCTCAGCTGCACAGTCACCCCATCAAGTACTCACTTGTCTTTGCAGCCTTGACTTTAGCCACCAGTTTTTGTACACCAGTCACATCTCCGTTCTTGACAGCAAGGATCAGGTCCTGTTCACGACCCATCCTGGTCCCTGGGCTGGGCTCTGGGCTCAGAAGTCCAGGGGAGAGGCACGAAAACTGTGCTAAGCCAAGGCGTCAGAGTGCCATGCCTTGGCCCTTTGGAGGGCCAGGCGTCCCGGGGGAACGTGTCTGGTGTCTCAGGCAATGGGTTTCTTGTCAGGCACTGACAGGTACTCCAACAAGGTGCTTCGTGAGCTGCCGCCACAAGCAGGAAAGCTGATCTCTGAGGGGGTGGAGGCTGCTCGGAAATCTGGACAGATAACAGCTTGCAGCTTCCGACAGCCCAGGATGGGCTGGGACTGGGCACGCCAATCTTCCCAGCGTGGCTCAGGAGCACCAATGCCCACCCAGAAAGCAGCCAGCATTCCCTCAGGCCTTGGGCAGCAGTAGTGGACAGGTCGCAGGGTTCTGGAAAAGGTGCAGTGCCTCTGCTGAGGGCGAGGCCAGAGCCTGCAAGGGTCCCAGAAGCAGGGCTCTGAAGAAGAGCAGGACAGGACCTCCAGGGAGCCCCCAAACCGCCTTGGCTGCCCTTATGAGCCAAGGGAGGGGCTGAGCCACTCAAGGCGGGAAGGGAGCTGCCATGCATGAGAGGAATATTTGGAGGGGGCAGAGGTGGCATTCTGGGAGGGGGAGGCTGAGTCATTGAGGCCCCAGGGCACCTGGCAGCATCTCAACCTGGGGCAGGCTGGGCAGCAGCCTGTTCTTCACAGCCCAAGGCGCTGACACCCACGGACAACTGTTGGGCCAGGAGGTGGGGCCTGGGAGGGTCAGGCACAGGCAGGTAGGAGGGGTCACTCCCTGTGGAAGGCTCCTGCCCCAGACTCCTATCTATGCTTTACTATAAAAGCTGGAAGCCCTGGCTGCAGGGCTCTTTATGAATTCAGAGAGGGAGAGGGATGGGGAACTTATGGCCCCCCACTTCTGGTAGGGGTCTGCCTGCTGCACAGGGAGGCTTTACAGCACCTGTTGCTGACCTATCCTCACCCCTTGTGCGGGTTGGAGAAGCAGCTGGGCAAAGAAGAGAGACAAGAGCTGGGGCACGGCTGCCAAATGGGGCTGTCTGGCCCCCCAAGCCTGAACCTGGGGTCCAGAGCCCCAACTTCACTGCAGAAAAGCCTACGTCAGTTCCTCATTGGCCACTAATTTGTTGCCCGAGTCCTGTGGCATGACACCCGGGCAGGCCTGGGGCTCTGGCTGGGAACCCCTCACTCTCAAAACGTCCCAAGCCCAACCCAGATGGCACTCCCTCTCATGGCCCGCGGCCGACATTGGGGGAGGGTGCCCCTGGCAGTGCCTGGGGTCGGGCTGGCTCCCCCGCCCCCCGGAATGCCTGCCCAGCGCCGCGCAAACCCCCAACCCCAACCCAGCCCAGGCCGACCTGGGGAACAAAGCGGCGGGAGGGACCGACTGGGACAAGCGCCGGAGGGACTGATGCGGGAGGACGGAATAAGGAGGCGCGAAGGAGGACGGAAGGAGCAAAGAGACGGAGGCGCCCGCCGAACCCGCAGGAAAAGTTAGTTTGCGCCCGCCCTCAAGGGTGCTGACCACCAGCTCAGGCCACGCAGTCTCACCTTTCCCAGCCGCCCCGCCGGGGGTCCGGTTGGCCCGGCGCGGTCCCTGGCACTCTGGATGGTGGCTCCCACTGCCCCCCTTACCCCCTTTCTCCTCCTCCTTTTCCAAGGCCGGCTAGGCGCCTCCCGCAGGAAATCCCGCCCCTCCCCCCTCCCTCCCGCCGGATCGGGAGCGGAGGGACCGTCCCGGCCGCGCAGTCCGACTGTCAGTCAGCGCCTGCGGCCCCGCCCCTATCCGCGGCAGGCCCCACCCCCATCGCTCCCTGGCGGACCAGAGAACTGGACGGTCAGCGCATGCGCCCAGGTGAAGCGGAGGGTGTGGGGGCGAGAGCTCCAGTCGCCGAACCGGGGCGACCTGGGGCTCTGGGGTTTAGGCCGAAGGGTTTGTGACTGGGTGGAAAAGGAAACGTGACGTGCAGGAGTCTGGGAACCTAGACTCAGGGACCCCACTTGGGAAGCCCCTCTTTCTCTTTGCCCCTCACCCCTCCCGAGGCTCCCGCAGCGACCTCGGCTCGCGTCCAGAGTCGCCGATCCACCGGCTGGTTGGAGCAATGGCGCCACCTCGCGGACGGTATCGGAACGGCCCACGGTGGCGGCGGGGTGGACCCCAGCCTCGAGGAGGTGCTAAGGACAGACTGGGGTGGCGCTTCAGCACCATCGTGGGCCGGACAGCGCCTCCCGCTCCCGGGTCCTCGAGAGCTGGCTTCCAAGCCCCTCGGGAGGGACCTAACGGCGGACCCTGAAGGAAACCCGAACCTTCCCAGAAAGCACCTGCCAGCCAAGGTGGCCTTCAGTAAGCGAAGCTGGAATTCAGGAACCCGCCATGCTCCCTTCTCTAAACCCCCTCTTCTTCCGTCCTCGTCCAGCCAGACGGTGGGGACTGAAGCAACCCAGGGCTGCGGAGAGGAGGGCCACGTGTCGACTATTCATACTACATTTTCAGACGCCAGGTTCCCCAGGTTTTTCTAGAGGAACTAGGGACAGTAGAGAGAAGCTCCTACAAATCCAGAAACCTGCAAACTCTGCCCCCGGAATCGAGGTACAAGATCGCGCTGGGAGCCAGGACAGGTAGGAAAGTGGAGAGCCCGTGGGTGGATCCGGTGACGAGGGCGGAGGTACGGTCGCCGGCGCTAGGGCCTCGCGGACTTCCGAAGGTGGGCGGAGCATGGGCGTTGCGCGCGCAGGCGCAGGCGGCGGCCCGATGGAGCCCGAACCAGAGCCCACTGCTGTGGAGGTTCCGGCCGGGCGTGTGCTCAGGTGCGGCGCGGAGGAGTCACGGGGACCGTGGGGTGGGCGCGGGAAGGGGGCGGGGTTCAGGACGGGACCAGGCGTCCCCGCCTGCGTGGCTGTGACCCCGCGTCTTCTCCCGCCCAGTGTCCGGGAACTCCTCGCCGCCCGCTCGCGGTCCCAGAAGCTGCCCCAGCGCTCGCATGGCCCCAAGGACTTCCTCCCCGACGGCTCGGCGTCCCAGGCCGAGCGGTTGCGCCTGTGCCGCCTGGAGCTCTGGCAGCTGTTGGCGGAGGAGCGCGTGGAGCGCCTGTGAGGGGGCCGGGCCGGGCCGGGCCGGGGGCGGGGCGGACGGGTCCCGTGGACTTCTCCGGCCCACTGAGACCGACCCCAACCCATTCTTCGCCAGGGGCAGTTTGGTGGCCGCCGAATGGAGGCCGGAAGAGGGGTTCGTGGAGTTGAAGTCTCCGGCGGTGAGCGGCGGGGCTCGGGGGCAGGGGAACCGCCTTCTCTGCCCTCCTGGCTCCTTGGTGACATTTGCTCTGGGTCCCGTACAGCGTAAATTCTGGCAGACCATGGGCTTCTCGGAGCAGGGCCGGCAGCGGCTTCACCCCGAGGAGGCGTTGTATTTGCTGGAGTGTGTGAGTGGGGCCCCAGGAGGATGGGGAAGGGGTTGGGACCGTGGAACCGGAAGAACATGTTGTTGTTTGGTTGGTTGGTTTTTGGAGAAAAAGTATACACAATTGAGTATTAAGGGATCTTAGAACCTGACTTCTCGAGCAGAAGACAAGAATGCCCATCCATATTAGCGTTGGTGCACGTCCCCCCTTCCTGGTTGACTATATTCCTGCTGTGATGTTTGCCAGGTGGGGTGGGGAGGCACATATATTAGAACCAGGAAGTTGCCCCATTGGTAGTGCCACTGCAGGGAGGGCTTACAAGTTGAGCTGTTGGCCCCACTTACAGGGCTCCATCCAACTCTTCCACCAAGACCTGCCACTGTCTATCCAGGAGGCCTACCAGCTGCTGCTGACGGAGAACACTGTGACTTTCCTGCAGTACCAGGTATTTGCCACCTGCTCTCAGGAGAGGAGCCACCCATCCACTGAGTCAGTTACTATTTACAAGTACCTATGAGGTACTAGCCACGGAGCCACATGCTGGGGCTACAAGACAGACAAGGGCTCTGCTGTCATGGGGCTTACATCCTAGTGGTGGCAATGAATAGTAAATCAGCAAGCAAAAGAAGGATTGACTTCACAGAATTGAGTGCTAGGAAGAAAACAAAGTGGGACAGAGGCACAAAGCTAGAGATAAGTGTGGACGTCATGAGCACATGGATGGTATTTAAAACCAGAGCGGAGGGCTACATCTGACATCTAGGGTTCTCCAGCATGAGGAGGTGAGGGAGGAGATGAGAGACCAGAAATGGAGACTGAAGAGTGTCTGGTAACGCAGGAGAAAACCAGGAAAAGTAGTATCACAGAAGCCAAGAGGTCTTTCAAGGACGAAGTGGTCTACTATGTTGAAGGCTGCTGAGAGATCAAGTAAGATGGGGGACATTCCTGCATATGTCTCTGATATGGATATTGGAACAGGAGGATGAACATGTAGTGGCTCTTTACCAAAGACCACTCCCACCCACCCCTGTCTGTGGAGGAGTTGGGTGGAATGTCCACCACCTTTTGCCATCTTCTTGTCCACATTGTAATCAGGAGCTTAACTCTTGTCAGCTTTAGTATCATATTTTAGGGTGTAGTTCTTTGCCTGGCTCATCAGCTGTTAGCTCTTTGGGATTTGCATTTAAATCAAGAACCTGCTACATGTCATTTGTGCCAAGTAAGGTAAGCAAGAGACAGGAATTCATACTGAGACCTTAGTTCGGAGAGTTGTTTATAATGGAGTGTGGTCCAACCCGTCCCAGGGTTTGGAATCTGGGGGTGGGTGGGAGAGAGATATGGGGAATGGCTTCTATTGGAGAAACTAGGTGGTGTTTTCACAAGTGGACATAACCTTTACTTACTTTTTTTTTTTCTTTTGAGGTCTTCAGCCACCTGAAGAGACTGGGCTATGTGGTTCGACGATTCCAGCCAAGGTAAAACCCTGTCCCATTTCCCTCCTGATTGTTCTAGTGCTGGGACCTGGGTGACTAGCCTCAAAGCAGAAAGTGGCCTCTGCTCACCTGGAGTCCTTGACTGGAGCTGCAGCTCCCTGAACTTGGGCTGGGGACCTCTGCTGGAAATGCTCTATTGAGAGGCGTGTTGGGACAATCTGGGTCATTTCAACTTATTCTGGGTTCTCAAATTGAGCCCCATCTTCAGCCTGTTCACCCCACAGATAATGATTGAGCACCTACAGCTCACTATGAGCATAGAGATGCTGTACTGGAACAGGGCCTGGCACTTAGTAGGTGTGCAGGCAGATTTGCTGAGCGCAGGCCTGAATGAAGGAGCAAGTGAGGAATTAGCAGTTGAATAGGGCTTGACATTCCTTTTGCTAGGTTAGATGTTCTTTTCTTCTGGGGCCTCTGAAGGTCATCGCTTTAGTAATCCGGCATTGCCGAGAGCCACAGAGAATCCAGATTCACAGTGGAAACTGGTACCGCCCTTTGCGGTTTCCCAGTATGCCACGAAAGCTCTAGAACAGAGCTTTAACTTCTGGAATTGGAATATATCCTAAGGAAATAGTCACAGATGTGTGCATAAGATCACCTGTGAGAATACTCCTTCATCCATTCATTCAGCAATATTTGTTGATTACTTACCGGATGCCAGGCCTTGTGCTCATTGCTGAGGAACAGCAGAGTGCAAAATCACTGCCCCACACAACTGGCATTTAGTGGGGACCTTACACAGAACACCACCACTTTGTAAAACCAGTGGACTTGGAAACATCCTGTGAGTCCAACACAGAGGGCACGGTCACACAAATTAGTGTATCCCCTACAGCAGCACTGCCCACTAGAACTTTCTGTGGTGATAAAAACGATATATGTTTATACTACCCAATATATGTGCCTCATGCTATTGAATTTATTTTATCTAATTTTAATGGATTTAAATTTAACTTTATTTATGTCTAGTGGTTACCATATTAGATGGTGCAGCCTTAGAGCCACTAAAAATAAAAACCATGGCAGGGAAGAATATTATAGGGGTAAGGAGCCATGTCTGTAATATATTATTGACTGAAACAAAAATATTACAGAGCAGTATGTCATTTTGGTTTTTTAAAAAAACCAAATATGGAGAGACAGTCAGTATGGTGTTTATAAGAAACAAAAATGTTACAGTGGTATCCACGGGTTTTCTTTTCTGTATTTTCCTAGCCCTTGATTTTTCTCACCTGTGATGAATCATTTATTGTTGGCTCTGCAGGAGCCCTGGTTCCAAGGAACTTCTGTTCAGAGGAACCATTGGTGAGACTCAAAGGCCTGGGCAGAGATGCATGGATAGGCCCCTATGTAGCCCTTCGGGCAGGTCTGCCTGGGGCCTTAACCCTTGGGTTTGGCTCTGACCCTGGCCCACTGACTTGTCTACTGGGCCAGTCCCTCACAAACTCCACCAGGAGCACCAGGCTGAGAACATGGATCTGTTGCTCACCTCATTCTCACCCAACAGCTCCATCCTGTCCCCTTATGAGAGGCAGCTGAACTTGGACAGCAGTGCCCAGGGCTTGGAGGATCCGAATGGCAAGAGGAAGAGGAGGAGTTCCAGCTCTTGGTAATGCTCTCCATATGGCCACCACCTAGGGAACTCTGGGCAGGGGGTGGCAGAGCTGTTGAGAGAGTGCTGGTGTATGGGACCTTGGAGAAGGCATGGATGGGTTTAAGAGCTGGGCTTGAGCGGGTCCCATGTAAACTCAGGGAGGCAGTAGGGCACGCGTAGGACTTGTGCACCTCAGCAACCAGGAGCAGATGTGCTGCGTTTCCTCTCCACATTCCTCAGGTCCATTAATAAGAAGCCCAAGACCCTGGAGAACCCCCTACAGGAAGCAGATGGGGCACCCAAGAGCCTGGCAACCTCTATCCCATCTCCCTGCAACCAGAACAGCCAATGCCCAGAGGAGGAACCCCAGGAGTCAAGTCCTATAAAGGGCCTAGCGGGCCCCTTTCAGCTTCTGGGATCCCTGGAGCCCTGCCCTGGCCTGGCCAGGGAGGTGGTGGGATGCAGCCAGAAAAGTGGCAAAGTAGAGAATGGGGTCAAGGGGACTTGTAAGCCACGCTGGAACTTTGAGCAGATCTCCTTCCCCAACATGGCTTCAGATAGCCGCCACACCCTCCTGCTTGCCCCAGCCCCAGAGCTGCTTCCAGCCAACGTCGCAGGGCGGGAGACAGATGCTGAGTCCTGGTGCCAGAAACTGAACCAGCGGAAGGAGAAGCTCTCCAGACGGGAAAGGGAGCAACAGGCAGAGGCCCGGCACTTACGGGAGGATGTAAACGCGGATCCTGAGGTGCAGCGCTGCTCCAGCTGGCAGGAGTACAAGCAGCTGCTGCAGAGACGGCACCTGCAGAAGACGCAGAGCCGCCCCCCCCACCTGTGGGACCAGCCTGTCACCCCCTTGTTGAGTCCTGGCCAGGCAGACTCTCCAGGTACCCCCTCACCCTGCCTTAGCTCCACAGGCCACTGGCAGCAGCTAAGGAATCACAAGACTTTGAACAGGGCATGGATTGACCATGACTGATTGAGGCTTAAGAAAGATGAAGGAGCCCGGCTGGCATGGCTCAGTGGTTGAGCGTCGACCCCTGCACCAAGAAGTCGCCAATTCGATTTCCAGTCAGGGCACATGCCCAGGTTGTGGGCCCAATCCCCAGTGGGGTAGCATGCAGGAGGCAGCCAATCGATGTTCTCTCTCATCGATGTTTCTATCTCTCTCCCTCTCCCTCTAAAATCAATAAAGAAAAAAAAATTCAAAAAAGAAAGATGAAGGAGGAGAGAGCTGTCCTATGAAGTGGAACCCCCAAGGACAGTCTGTTCTCCTGGGAAGCAGCAAAAGGACCCATATGGGAAGGTTTAGAGATGGCAAGTCAGTGCCAGAGAAGAAAAGAAATGAAAATTATGACCAACATCCTTTACATCATACACAAGATGCATGTAGGTGGTTCTGCCACCAATTCCCTGTGATCCCGTTCTCCCAACTCTTTTAGGGAACACGGAGGTGATATGTTGGCGAAATAAAAGGAAGGTGTACTGTATGCCCTGCAATGTTAAGGACAAGGAACTAATAAGACAATGATTTTCAACTAGTGTGCCACATAAATTCTTATTTTTATTTTATTACTATTAGTTTTCTTTTTCTTTTCTTTTTTTTTTTTTTTGGTACGTGCCCCTAGCGGGAACCGAACCCAAGACTCTCTGGTCCACAGGCCAATGCTCCAACTGCTGAGCCAAACCAGCCAGGGTTATTAGTTTTCTTTTTAGCAATACTGTTCTTACTATACGCTCATTGGACAGTAGTGCAACTCCAAGAAAAGGATAATTGGTGCAAAAATTTTTATTTATTTTTGTTGATCCTCGAGGATATTTTTTCTTTTTTAACATTTTAATTAATTTTAGAGAGCGAGGAAGGGAGACGGAGAGAGAGAGAAACATCAATTGGCTGCCTCCTACACGCCCTCTACTGGGGATTGAGCCCACAACCTAGGCATGTATGTGCCCTGACCAATACTCAATCCACTGAGCCACACCATCCAGGCCCAAGGATATTTTTCCATAGATTTTTAGAGAGAGGAGAGGAGAGGGAAGGGGAGAGGGAGAGAAACATCGATATGAGAGACACACGTCTATTGGTTGCCTCCCCCACAACCCTGACTGAGGCCGGGGATTGAACCTACAACCATTGGTCTGCTGGCCACTGAGCCAAACTAGCCAGGGCAAGGGCTAAATTTTTTATTGATTGATTTTAGAGAGAGGAAAGGAGAGAGTGATTTGTTTCACTTTTTTATGCATTTGTTGGTTGATTCTTGTATGTGCCCTGACCAGGGATCAAACCGTCAAGCTTGGCCTATTGGGACCACGATTTAACCCAGCCAGGGCAAGAATTTTAAAAACATGAACTACTATCCAGCCAGTGTGGCTCAGAGGATTGAGTGTTGTCCCATGGACTGAGAGGTCCTGGTTCCATTCCGGGTCAGGGCACATGCCCGGGTTTCAGGCTCGATCCCCAGTAGGGGTCATGTGGGAAGCAGCCAATTAATGTTTCTCACATCAATGTTTCTCTCTCTCTCCCTTCCCCTTTCTCTAAAAAATAAAAACATAAAATAAATAAATACATGCAGTATCTGACTATTTAGGCAGGGGCATTGACCTCTTTTTCCTTAGATTATCAAATTAAAAAATGACAGCCAACACAATAGCCATCTGGTATGAATGAATCAAAATTATACCTATGTTTTTGTCAGATCAGTAAAAAAAAATTTTTATATTGTGCTGCAGAATTTTAGTAATTAGTTTATGAATGCCATGAAATGAAAAAGGTTGAAAATCACTGTAATAGGTCAAGAACGGTATTAACAGATTCAGAACTACTTATAGTCCTTATGAGAACATGGTAGACTATAAGTAACTAGATTAGGGTTGCCTGATCGGTTATATTTCAGATAAACAACATGGGACATACCTATACTTTAAGAAATCTGCTGAATCCGGGGAACCCTAAACTAGATAGAAGACAGAAATGTCAGGGGAGTCTGTAGATTACTGACTGCCCTCCCCAACAACTTTTCTCTGTCCTTCTAGCCACAGTCTTTCAACATATCTCTGTGCTGCAGACAACACACCTTGCTGATGGAGGTGCCTGGTGAGTTTCCAAGTGGTGCCCATCTCCACAATATTTTGGCTAGCAGCAGGAGTTGAGAGCTGGGATTTCACTCCTAAAGTTGGGTATGAGCTGGGGGATCATTCCAGGGACCCCAGCTAATATCCATGCGTGTCTAGGGGAGTGGGAAGAATGAGAAGACGAAGAGAGTTTATCCCTAGGGTTCTGAGGTAGGCAGCTGAGCCTCCCCGTCTCTCAAGTGGCACCTCACAGCAGGACCCCCAGTTCCCCTGGACAGGCTGCTTCCTGGAATTGGGAGAGGGAAAAGGTGGTGTGTTAAAAAAAAAAAAAAAAAAAGGTAGAGCAGGACAGTCCCCAAAGTTTCTCACTCTCTTCTCAGGCTGCTGGAGAAGTCTGGGGGCTTGGAGATCAGCTTTGATGTTTACCAGGCTGACGCTGTGGCCACATTCCGAAAGAATAACCCTGGCAAACCCTATGCCCGGATGTGCATCAGTGGGTATGAGACCAGCAGGCATTGCCCCCTGGCTGCTGCCAGTTCTCTTGTAAACCATGTTCTCTTGTAAATCCATGCCCCTGACCAGTTTGCCAGTCCCTGAAAGGTCCAGAAGGATTACATGACTGAAGCAAGGTCACACAGCCAGTTTGGGAACCCAAGCTTCCCAGTCCTCAGCCCTCATCCCTGGCATTGTCAGGTAGTCTCCTGTGTCACTTTAGTCTTGAGCTCAGTGAGAGCCTCACTCTTCCTAGCCCCCTTACTCAACCAGGACTCTGGGTCTCTCTCTAACTTAAGAACCATGCAGTTTGCAGACAGGAGAATCCGGGGGGGCCAGACTTCTGTATCCCCAACTCCTGCCTTAATCTCCCTTCCCTGGGAGCTACAGAGGGATGGGGTCTCAAAGCCTTTGGGTAGGCTATGTCCAGGTCTCAGTCTAACCTTTATCCCTGCAGATTTGATGAGCCAGTCCCAGACCTCTGCACCCTCAAGCGGTTGTCCTATCAGAGTGGGGATGTTCCTCTGATCTTTGCTCTTGTGGATCATGGAGACATCTCCTTCTACAGCTTCAGGGATTTCACACTGCCCAGGGATCTGGGACACTGACCTGCTCTGGCAGGCCTGACGCCTGCTTGGGAGGGACTTGGACTGTCTACTCTCAGGGACCATCTCAGCTGCCTCCTACACCCTATAGCTTCAGGGGCTAGGCTGGGCCGTGGACCTGGGTGTCTGATGCTTGCAGAAGAGCCAAGCTGAGCCCCCCTACCTGGCTGCTGCAGCGCTTCCAAACCCCAGGACTGAGATTGCTGCCTTGCAGTGATCCGCTTGGAACTCAGCGAGGTGTGGCAGAAGAGAGGACTCAGTGCCTTTAAATGAGAGGGTGCCTGCTTCACGCAATAAAGCCAAAAGCCATAGTCATTTTGGGGGAAAAAAGATCCATTTTCTTATGTGGCTGGATATACTGGACAAGTGCCCTACCTCGGTATGGATGCACGGACCCCACCCCTATCCCGTTGTCTGCCCACCCACAGAGAGAGCTGCTCTCTCTGTTGCAGGAGCTAAGAGAAGCTAGCAACCCCGCACCCGTCCCAGGATCTGCGCCAGCAGGGATGAGAAGTCACAGACCTCTAATCAGCTTGTCCAGGGGAGTCCAGGGAGGGAGGCCGGGGCTCCGTGGCCCTTCCCTGCGGGTCCAGGTAGAATGCTGTCCGTGAGGCGCCATGTCATTTTGAACCTTAGTCACTTCGAGTTGTGCGGTGGAGCTCCACCGCGCCGTACACTCCCCGGGCCTCGGGCCTGGCCTCCGCGCCCCTTCCGGTCCCGCCTTTCGTTGTTCCAGTCCCCTCCGTTGTGCTAAAAACTCCAGTCACTGGGTTGCTGTCCCTTGGGGCGTGGGGTGCTTGCCAGGCAAAACAGGGATTTGGAGGAGGGGAGTCCAGTCTTGGAGACCGCCCCGAGGGGAGGTGCCTCGTGGCGACGCCCCCATCCTCACGCCACTTAGCTTTTGGGTCCCGAAACCTGGCCCTGTGTCCGCTGGTCACCCTCTGATAGGGTTGGGCGCTCTCAGGAACAGCAGTCCCGGCTATGCCCCTCCCCCAGCGCTCCCGCCGGGTTGTGGGAGGGACGGCTCCTTTCGGCTTTGGGCCTGGGAGACGGCCATGGGCTGTTGCGCGTTCGGGGAACTATTTCTTTCCCGGGAGGCGGCGGGACACTGGGTGAAGAAGGCCATCTTGCGACAAGGTGCGTGCAGGTGAGGCTAGGGCGGGGCGGCAGCGCCTCGTGCATATTCACACGGGCTGAGGCCCCGCCTTCGCTCTGCCCGGGGCCGCGGATTGGCCCGCCCGCGGTCCCCGCCCCCGGGGGGCGTCCTCGATGCGTCCCCTCGCGGTCCGCGTAGGGTTGAGTGGGGCGGGGAGGGGCGGGGCCCGGCGCTCAGGGTTCCGCGGGCCCGGCCGGCTCGCCCTTTATGTAAATAGAGGCGGCTCCGCCCCCCGCTCGCCGCGCCGGAGGTGAGCAGGAAGGAGACTGCCGCCCAGCAACCGAGGGCCGGCGGCGGAGTGAGCGGAGCCTGCGGCGGGCGCCAAGGGACGCTGAGGCCTCGGGCGGGGTCCGGCCTGGGGTTCCAGGTGAGGCGCGGGCCGGGGCCCACCTAGCCGGGCCCGCCCCCTCGGGGCGCCTGCCACTCGGGGCGGAGAGGCTAGAGAGGGCCGGGACCCCGGGCTTCCCGGGCGGGGCGGTGAGGACTGCACCCAGGTCCGCCCGCCTCGCTCCGCTCGTCGGGGAGAAAGACACCTGTGGAAAGTGCCACTGGGAACTTTTCTTTCCCAGATCCGCTCGCGTTCACAGAATCTGGGTTTCGGGTTTGCACAATAGTTAGTGTTGGCTTTGGAGAGCACGGAGACAGGTGCCCCGCCCGGCCGAGTGCGAGGGTCACCGCAAGCAGAGACGTAGTCCCCGGGCCTCGGTCCCCACGTGCGAGGCGTCTGGGCTGGGAGGCCGGCGACGCGCGTCTCCGGTGGCCCTCTCTCCGCGAGCGACGTCGGCGGCTTAGCCCCTGTCGCTGCCATCTGGGCCCTCTCCCTACCGGCCCTTTGTGCCTCCTAATCCCCGGACGCAGGAAGCCCGCGGGAGGGACTTAGGTCTCAGAGCCTTTCTGTGCCTGGTGGCTTTGGGCACCTTTAGGGGACAATACGGAGACCTAGTCTGTTTTCCACGACGACGGGGGTGGGTTGCGCTGTGGAACGTTGGACTTGGCCAGGAGTGAAAAATTCTGTCTCACCAAAGAAAGTGCAAAGTTTGCCCTTGGTTTGCTTGCCCGGCTGGATGGTTGGTAGACACATTGAGCTTTGGCGGCGAGGAAAACTGACTGTAACTGGAGAGCCCTGGTGTGGCCCCCTGAGTCTCACCTGACTCAGGTGAGCTTTGGGTGAGGCGGGCGGGGCTTAGACTCCGGCCCCTTCCCATGAGGATCCATTTGCCAGATGCAAGGAGTCTTAACCTGGGCTCTAGGGACCCTCTGCAGAGTTTACAACTGGGCTGCAGAGGGGAATCTGAACGGGGTGGCGTGGGAGGGGGGGTGCGGAGAGGGAATGAGTGTGTCTGGGAGACGGAAACCCCAGGTGGGAAATGCAGAGCCGCCCTATAGAAGGGTTGTGGCCCGGCTCCGGGGAAGCCCAGGTCAGAAGTGGCTTTTGAGGGAGACAGGGTCTGTGTGAACTGAGGTATGGGAAAGCTCCTGGGAGGCGGTCTTTATTTTGTGGACAGGGAATCCAGATTCGTTTTCCTCAAGTGATCTGCCCACAGTGCTAACTGACAGCAGCCAGCACTCAAACCTGGCCCTGGGGGCTCTGGCCAGGACTGGCTCCTCTTCCCGGAAGTTAGACTGGGCCAGTCTCTGTGGGGGCCGCTGTGGGGTCTTCGTGTTTATTCCAGATGACTCCTATTGGTTTAAAAAATAAAAAGGTAATAGAAGCCCAGTGGGGGAGATGAAACAGGTTAGAAAGTATAAAAGGGGAAAACATATCCTCTTGCCTCAGTCTTTCCTCAAACATAGTATTCATTAAGTATTTTAGTGTTTTTCTAGACTCAGGTATCATTTTAAATCATGCCTTGCTGTATGACCTTGGCTTGGTCAATTTATCTTGCCAAACCACAGCTGAGCCTTGTTTTACAGATGTTGGTGAGAGCATGAAAAATGTCACAAACGTGTATGTAGCCTGGCACATAGCCGGAGCCAGGTGAGGGTGAGCTTCTTAGCACCCCATGAAGCATAAAAACCTTGGTTACCTGTGGGTTTTGGGGTGGATTCCTGGGCCTTTTAGATTTGCCTGTCGGATTGTGAGAGAATCTGGCTTCTCTGTCCAAATTTCAGCCAAGGGGTTCAGAACTTTTCTATGAGGACGGTAGTTGGGGGGCAGAGGGAGAGGGCATTGGCCTCTCCTGACCTCACTTCATATTCCAATGACCCTAACCCCAGCTGGGGGCCTAGCTTGGGGTTAGGGGGCTGGGGGGGGGGGGTTGTAGAATCTAATCTGCTCTGCTTTCTGCTCAGGGGAGGGAGGGCTTGGCTGTAGACATTCTGTTGGGGGAGGGGGGAGGGGGGAGTGGAGCACATTCCTGTGCTGCTCTGTTGTCATTGAGGAGATTTTCTAAGAACTCTAGTGCTTTCTTTCAGCCTTATTTAGGGACTGAGCCCTTGGACCAAGGACCCTCTCCCTAGGAGAAAGTGGTGCATGGAGCTGGAAAGTTTGGAGCCTCTGCCGTCAGTCTGTGACCCCCTGTGTACCCCACTGGAGACATTCAGCATTCCAGGCAGGAGTCTCCAGGAGCAATATGGGTTTCCTAAAGGCTTCCTCAGCCTTCCTGGTCCATCCACATGTGTTGGAAGTGGCTGCTGAGACATCTGAGTTGGGGTGGAGAGGCCCGTGGTCCCTATTCCTGGGTTGGCTGCTTTGAGCAGCACTGGCCTCTCAGGACTCACTCTGAGTAATCAGCTCAGAGAGGCCTTCCTAGCTCACCCAGGCAATATCACAGTCGGGGCTCCTGGGTTGAGGCATGCCAGTTCTGCTTGGCAACTTTGTTTTCCCCTGCCTAAGAGCAGTTTTCAGGGAGAAGTGGGGTAAGGGGCAGGAGATGGGCATCTCCCAGTAGGACCACCGCTACTGCTTGCTCTTCTCCAGCCCTGGCTCCCCAGGGTTCCCCACGAGACCCCCTACCCTGTGCCCTGTCACCATGGGGCTTTGCCCCGCTCCCTTTGAGGTGACCTTCCCGCCCTGCCTCCCAGAGGAAACTGGTCCTTTGACGAGTCACCCCACTCCTTCCCTTCTCCAGGAACCACAGTGAATTCTTGAGCTAGGAGAGGCTCCTTTGGGCGTGGGGACAGAGAAGCTGCTAGGGACCTGACTCTACCCTTCAGGAATTCAGCAGTGACCGGAGCCTTCTCGTTAAAACACCTGTGTTTCCAGGGTTTGATGAAAGGGACCTCTGGGTACAGGACTGTTTGACTCTTGTAAATAATGATATTGTTGGATTCTCCTTGCCACGGAGCTGGGTGTCATGGAGCCTCAGACTGAGACAGGCCCACAAAAGTACCCCTAGCAGGATGCCAGGCATGATGTCCGCACGGTCCTGGCCTTGACTAGAGACTTGAGAACAGGGTGGGGAAGTTCCCTGAGGGACCCTATGGTGCCCCAACACAGTGTTCTTTGGGGTTAGTTGCTCCCAACCAGAGAAGACCTTTGCCTAGTTGTCCCTATTCAGCCCTAGCTGTACCTTGATTCATTCATTCAACAAGTATTTACTGGTGCCTCTTTGTGTACGGGTGATTTAGACATGGGGTGTGATCCTCACTCTGTTATCACAGGATTTGCATGCTGAAGGGCGGGGAGCTCTAGCTACAGAAAATAGTGTAAGTAATAAACAATGTGTTAAAAGCAACATGAGCTACAGAGAAGCAACTAAAGCAAAGGATAGGACCTTGCAGGTTACAACCTAAAAGGTGGTCAGAATGGTGGGCCTCGACAAGGTCACATTTGAGCACAGACTTGCAGGGGTGAAGGAGGTCTTTAAATAAAATTTGAGTGTATTTCAAAAGTCAGGGCCCTAAGCCCTGGGCATACAACCATGGGCAGAACAGGCACAGTCCCTTCCTCCTGGAGCTGACCTTTTCTAGAAGCTCTTAGGACAACAGCTCAATTTTTGAGGCAAGTCAGAGGCTGTGGAATGGGGCTTGATAGGATGGACCAGGCAGCCTACCTGCCTCCACCCCAGGCAAGTTGTCCCCCTTCTCCCAGAATCCCCCCTTTTCCTTGTGCGTGGCCCCACCGAATCCACCACTGCCCCGGAGAGAGTCTAATGTCAGATTGCAGAAGGGGACTGGGGCCCCGGAATGGTGATGGGCGTGGTAGTGCCTGCATTCTGACTTCCCACCCCATCCTCACAGCCAGGCTGGGGAGGGAAACCCTGTAGGAGGAGCCTTGAGTGTGGGGTTGTGAGACCGGCCTGTTGCTCCTTAGGATGGATAGTGGAGAGGACGGGTGACTGCTGAGCCCAGGTGGCCCCATCTAGGCTACTGCTGGCCAGACCCTTTGTCCTGGGAGAGTGGCCTACACTGAGCAGAGGGGTTTGCCATCATGTCATAGTTCAGGGACTTGGACTCTTACGAATTGCTTGGGCTTGATAGCTGTTGGAATTGGTCATTTCATAAGTAATTGTA